TGTGAATGAGCTCAAAAGCCTCTTATGAGGTCATGAGCATGTATGAAGCTCAAAAAGTTAGGCCATAAGTTCAAAATTTCAAGCTTGTTCATTTTACATTTCATGAATTCCTTTAAAATTTCCCAACTTGTGCAACTTATAACTTGCCCAATTTGCATCTTTTGAAGATGATATTTGACTTTTTGGAAAGATCAAGGTGTCCTATTCAATTTTTATTTTGATCATTATTGCATTTGGATACATTATCTTGATGTAAGTTGCCTTTACAAAAAGTGTCTTTTGTTGACTTTGTAAAATGACCTAAATGTATTAGCTCTGATCTTTCAAATGAAGCATTTTTTGGACTTGAGCATAAAAACAAAGTTGTAGAGAATTTAATTTTCTTCAAAATAGGCTTTGGTTGGGGGAAAGTTGATGAAGCATATGAAAGTTATGCTTGGTCAAAGTTCAGTTGACTTCTCCTAAGGAAACCCTAATTTGACAATTCTTGACTTTTGATGATTTGAGAGCTTTCCTTGGGGAATCATGATCAACCCATTGATCAAATGATAAATATCACTTCAAAATGTTGATGTTGACCAAAAATCTTGAAGTTTGACTGTATGTTGACCATAGTTGACTTTTCACCTAATACAGTTGATTTTCAATCATCTGAGCCATTGACTGAGCAAATTTGTGATGTATGACTTGAAACTTGACATGAACATTGTTGGAGACCTATGATGAGCCATGAGAACCATTTGAGACATTTTCAAACCAAATTTCTTTGAGAAATACCAAACCCTAGCTATAGACCCTTGACTTAGGAGGAACCTCTTGACTAGTCAACCTTTGAAATTCTTGAGTTTTTGAGAAGCCTTGAAAGAATGTCTTGAGAAAAATGGGAGGGAAAATTTTGGGGTACAACATTGACCTTCGAAGCTTCAACTGGAAAGGTTGATACGAGTTAAATTTCTGAGCAAACGAGTTACCACACTCTTCGTCTTGATTTGCTGATAAAAGGCCCTCACTTACCTCGAATTTATTGTTCATATTTGTCATTTAATTTTGTTTTGAAGAACTAGGTTTCTTCGTGTTTCTAAGCATATTTTATCTGCTCAGAGCCAATAAATGGCTCTAATGCAGAGAGACGTGAACGATGACATGAGTAGAAGTACAAACATTTGTTGTTTGAGGTTAAAATTCAGAGTTCATGGATTTGCATAAATCGAACCAAGGTTGAAGACGATGAAGCATTATGCTCGCTTTGGTGGGAAGATTTGACATGACCAATCAGAACACGCCACGCAGCTAACCGTTGACCTTTGTATTTTATTTTTGTTTCTAATTCAATTTATTTTCTTTTTCTTTTCTGATTTATTTTAAATACCTCCTTTGACCTTTTTGACTCCTTTTTTTTTTTCATAAATCACAAAAATTAGTTTCTGCCACATACTTTTTTTAAGAATTTTAAAATCACTTTTAGTATTTTTTACTATTTTTTTTCTATTTTTTTATTTCCATTTAACAATTTAATTTCATGCATTTTAAAATATTTTTCTCTCCAACTTTTGAGATCCAATTACGTGTAATATTTCTGACTTTCTCAAATTTTCTTGGCAATTTATTTGATGTTTTAATGTCTCTTTGGAATTTTCCATTTAATTTCCGTTCTAAATTATTTTTAAAATCATTTAAAATTTTTTTAATCATATTTTAATCCATTTTTGTTTGACTTTTGTTGACTTGGGTCATGACTTTGTTGATCAGTGTTTCATTAATTTCAATTGGTCTTTGAATGATGCTTTGATTGCATAAACTTTCATTATTTTAAACTTATCATTTAAATGATCATTTGATCATTTTTGGTACTTTGGATTAATTATAAGTTTATCTCATTGTATTTTGAGCTTGAATGGTTGAAATTGATTATAAATGATCCCTTGTTGCATTTCAATTGTGTTTGATCATCTCTGATTCTCCATCTTATTCTTTTTGCTTTTGTTTTGATCATTGTGTTATATTGTTTTAGGAGGATGGTTTTTTTATCATTCTTCTAACATGTATGACACATAAATAGCTATTAACCGGCCTCACATAGGTGTGACTTCTACATAAGTCCATTTACAATTGCTTAACATATCACTAAATTGTCTCGACTCGGTTGATTCCTCATTAACACTAACATTGACATGTTAATTATGTTAACATCTAACTTTTACTTTTATTATATTTACATTTATTGCCATTTTATTTTATGTAATTTACATTCATGTCATTTACATTCTTGCTATTATATTTTATCTTTTACTTTATGTCTTTTATCTCTTTGTTTCTCTTACTTCAAAAAGAACAAAAACATTATAAAATGGCTAAAACCCTAAAAAAAACTTTCATCTGATCTTGTGGACTTTGTGTTACTATCCCTTGCTTGAGGATTATTTTTAACTTTGGGCCTTAGTACTCAGTGCTTTCCTTTGTTTGGAGTAGTTTTCTCTGATACTTTGTGATTCATCTGAACTTTGGACTTCAAATCAAGACTTGTCCTTATCATGAGAAACTTTGATCTTTACTTGAAGACTTGGAATTCTCTTTGTGGCTCTGTGACCTTGGTATTCATCTGGACCTTTTGGTGTTCATATGATTCTATTACTTTCTTTTGATAATCCATCTGCTTATGTGCTTGCTCATGTGATTTTTTATCTTGTGGCTTACTCCAAAGGGAAAGGAATTCTCATGTTAACTAATTTTAAATGCTTGCTCCATCTTGTGGTCAGTACGCTTGCATACACAAAGATTTTCTCTTCGGCTACCTTACAATGAGATATTTCATTTCATGTCATTTACTTTGTGCTTTAGGATAGACTCTTCATTTGTTACCCACTTCTTCAATTTTCAAAACTTCTCCCTATTTTCAAAACTTCTTTCTTCAAACTTCAAATCTTTTCTTAATAAACATTGACCTTGTAAAGTGAATCCCGAAAATCACTTTCTTAGTAAATGCTAAAACACTTAAGCATATTCAAACTCTTTTCAAAACTTCTAAAAAAGACAAACCTCATCAAATTTCTTTTTGTGCCTTTGTGCATTTTTATTTTAAACTTTTTTAAAGATTAGACATTAGTTTATTCTAGTAGTGATGCAAACCACTATACTTTTACAAGATGTTGTGAAGTGATTAACATTTTCTACTTGAATGTTGAGACGTGCTTGTGAGAAAGTCCAAGTAAAAGTTCTCCATATCAAGATTATGCAAATGCTCACTTTCCCATATGTGCGGGTAGTAGGTTATGTTTTTCATTCGAATACGACGAAATATAGTTTCAATTTAAAACCAATCAACAAAGTTTCGGAGATATTTTTACCACAGACTAAAAGGCTCAGACTTCCCTATTACACTGAGGGGATACGTGGGCACATGACTCTTGAAGTCTTACTGAGCACAAAAATAATAAAATACTTCTTTTCTCATCACCCCGATCTTTTTGCAACCAACCTGGTTTTATCATAACACGGATTTTCAAGAGGTTTCTATGGAGTACCATAGATGTGAGAAGTTCTAACACCTTATCCTTGTATAACCAACTCCCGTATCCCGATCTCTATTCTTTTTTTCCGTGTTGGGTTTTATCGATTTTTTTTTGTCTTTCCTTTAGAAATGATAAAATTCGGTGGCAACTCTTGTTTTTTCAAGTTAATTAAGTTAATCAATAGTTTAATCTCAATTTTTCCTTCTGCGACAAATCTGTTGCGAGATCTGAATCTACCTCATGATTTTTCACGACCGCCTTTTTCTCGATTCTTACCCCTTCCTCTATTTTAAAAGACATTAGCTTTAAATTAATTGTTCAAACCTCTTTTCTTTGTCTTGCATATTCATTTAGTAGACTGTCTGTAACACCAACCATGTTAAGCTTTCTATTTGGAGCTGAATTAATGAGAGAGACAAGTAGAGTTTCCTAGCTCTTGCAAGGAATTTTAGAGTAAAAGTGTTTGTAACTCATCATTAATCTTAATTTCAATTTTCGTCAATTGGTTTACAATTTTTAAAGATATTTCGATGTGTTATCATGTTTTGATCGTGTGAGTACTCCAACTGCAAGTGTTGTCTAACAAAGTGGACTTTATTTCTAGGTGTCTACTTTTGAACTAGGGATTCAAACTTCGTCCACAATTCATGTGCATGGATATAAGTTGATACATACTCAAACAAGCTTTGATCAATGTATTTTTTTTAAATCAAAATATTGCTTCTAATTTAAGATCTCCCCATCTCCATCGCTACTTTCCTCAAGTTTATCTTTCCGAGTGATTGTCCCAACTCTCAATCATCGTCCTCAAATGGTTCTGGTTATGACGACAAACTTCCCCATCATAATATGCTTTCACGAGCGACATCAATTAATATTGGTCCCAAAGTTACCTCATAAACTACCCTCCATCTATTCCTATTATGGAACCACAACCACATACTTAGACGAATGAGCATGTTGAAAATGTCAACACGATGAATACGGCACAACTACAGTAAAAAAATAATATGATATCAAATGAGAACTATTTAAATTAAATTTAAAAAAAATTATATATTTAATTTCATTAATCTAACAAATATGAAAAAAATCATAAAGATACTCTCGCTACATTTCCTCCTTGACTCAATAAGAACTCAAAAGTCTAAATTTATATTTTAAAAACTATATATAGACCACTTAAGAAAGAAAGAAAATAGAAAAAGAAAAACAATATCATGACATGCGAATATTAGTGAATTTTTTCAGAAAACAAAAGCAAACTTTTATTATTGGCATCCAACTCCACCGCAAAATAATGTTCATTTTGTTTATTTATTGAGGACATAGGATAATAAATTTAGAGACATACGTTATTTACTATTTCGAGGTTAATAAATTTGCCTTTGTTTCATTGTTTTTGTTCTGATTCCATTTTCCACCTCGAAACCTTCCTTATAATCAGTAAAACAACTGACGCATCAGTTTCAACACAGAAGGAAGAAATCAATGGCCACCACCATTACCAACAAGGTATGCATTATTACGTTGCATGATTGTTTGCAACTATATTATTATATCTCATGTTATTAATAAATATTGAATTTGTGCAGAAAGAGATAGATGATGATCATCATCATCAAGAACAAAAACTGAAGCATCTTGGGTTTGTGAGAATTGCTGCTATTCATGCTTTTGTTTGCATGTCGAGTCTTTATGATTATGCAAAACAGAATTCGGGATCTTTGAGACCTGCTGTTGGAACCGTTGAAGGTACTGTTACTACAGTTCTCGGTCCTGTTTATCACAAATTCAAGCCTCTTCCTCAAGATCTCCTCCTTTTTCTCGACAATAAGGTCTCTCTCTGATTCATTCTTTCCTTTCTTTTTTTCCTTTTGTTTAGATGCATTTTTTGTTTTAACCCTTTGAACAAATCAACAAAGCTTCTTCAATAATTCATGTTTCCTTGATGAAGATGTTTTTTTGATCGCATTTGATTTCAGATCAGATCTGTTTGTTATGTTACCAATGAAGATGTGTAGGGAAAACCTGACATAGATGCAGTTTTATTCTTATGTTACTTACAAAGCCGATTTTCCAACTGCATGCATGTCAGTTTTTTCCTACACATCTTTGAGACCAATCGTTATTAAAATTGGTCTCAACCATTTGATTCTCATGACATGCATGCAGTTTTATTCTAGACTAACAAAGTTGATTTTTCAGGAAATCAAATGGTTAAGACCAATTTTAATGACAAATTTTGACAATGTTGAAACAATTTTCGGTTAACAATATTGTTAATCGATTGTGGCAGGTGGATGAAGCAACCAACAAATTCGATGAGTGTGCTCCGCCTTTTGCGAAGCAAGTAGTGAACCAAGCGAAGGGTTTGATTCAAGAAGTAACACACAAAGCTGATAAAGTAGTGAATGAGGCACAATCTGGTGGGGCAAAAGCAGCTGCAAATTATGTGGTTACAGAGTCAAAACAAGTAGTGCTAACAAGTTCGGTAAAATTGTGGTCAGGTCTCAACCATTATGCACTATTTCATGCAGTAGCAGAGTTGGCAATTCCAACAGCTGCACGTTGGTCAGAAAAGTACAACCATGTTGTTAAGAACATTAGTGGAAAGGGCTATGCTGTGTCTGGATATTTACCTTTGATTCCTGTTGATCTGTTGATGAAATAGCTAAGGCATTTAAACAAGGAGAAGGTAATGTGAGTGTTGATCAAGAAAAAACTGTGGTGGAAGATGTTTCTGATTGAGTACTTACTACTACTACTAGATATTTTCTTTGCAAAACGTGGTTTAATGTAAGAAATGGTTTAACGTAACATGTTTCTGACGTAGAGGGTAGTTATGAAGGGAAATTAATGTAAGAAATTATGGGAATAGACCATGTAAGCTAAAGTATTATAAAGTGTGTGGAACATAATGCGATTATGAAAAATGGTGACTTAAAAATTCATTAAGCTTGTTTTGACCTTTTATATTTCTTGCATAAATATTGTTTTGATTGTCTTGATTATAAATTGGGACCAGTTGGCTTTTGGTTCAATTGAGTATTTATTTAAGATAAATTTTAGCATGTGTTCACATGAAGGAAATAAAATTCACTCTCCCATTACACTCATCCATGTAGCAACAAAAGATGGGCAACCTTGGAGGCAACATCATATCCTTCCCTTCTTGGTCATCACCTACTACTCTACTCTGCCCCCACCGCCATCTTTAACTCTCCTTACACTTTTTCATAACTTTTGATATAGAATCTACACTTTATAGCTTCTTTATAGAATATACACTTTGATATAGAATCTACACTTTATAGTTTCTGATCGGACCTGATCAGAGTTGGACCGTCACATCTGACTTCGGATTGGATTTAAAAGAGATGGGAGGTACCTGCAAAACACTTCGATAGCAAAGTAAGAGACGGAATGAGCAAGCAAGTATGAATGTAGGTGTGAATGAATGAATACCTGACCCTCTTGAAATAGAAGGTATTTATAACTCTCAGCGCTGGACCAATGTCTCTTTATTGGGCAGATCAAACAGGCCCAACAAAGAGACTTTCAGGTTCTACGTGAGTAGTGGGGACCTGCACGTGGCCCCCTACCTGGATGACGCCCTCCGCAAGACAGGGAGGATAAAGACACGATCTTCCCGAGACCATGAAGACTCTGTGAAATCCGGAGAGGTTTGAAAGTAAGCTCTACAAGGAGGGTGCTCGATGGGAGCGTGCGCTCGTCGGAGACATTCTTCGCGAGCACCGGCGGGAAGCAATCATAGCCGACCAGATACCCATGATCGGGGTATGCTCGGAGGGTATACTGCATAGCACGGTATGTTGGCAAGCTTGGATTGGGCCTCACTGGTGATTGGGCTAAGGGCATTCCCAGTCCAGAATAGGAACCCCCCAAGTCGTTGCTCCTGGTACGGGAGTTATGACTTGATTCAAGTTCGCCCCTTCGCGAGACTCGCTTGCGCGATAAAGAGTTTTTCAATCGGGGATGTGAGACGTCGCCCGGTTCGTGATTTGCTCCGTGCAGCGATCGAGGAGTGTTCGAGGAACACTCACGGGGAGGTGGTGATACACTAGTCAGACACGTGGCGTGGCTCTTGGAAACCATAATGCCGCCCTAGGGAGTAGGGTCATGATTGTCTACGCGAGTAGGCGTCGAGGATGAAGGCGGTTTGTGGTTCCCCGACGCGATGTTTCATATTCCACGTCATCTCTACAAATAGGGCTCCAGGGCCCATAACTTGTTTTCACATCTTCACGCTCTCATATTTTCTCTGCCTTCAACACCGCGTGTTTTCCTAGCGTCGCTGAGACCGCCGCACCGTTTGTCGTGTGTTCATCTCCATCACCGTCGCTCCCCACTCTTCTTCCAAGTAAGTGCTCTTTTTCTTTGATATCTCATGTTGTAGATAGATTTTGATGGTGTTTAGAGGTAGAATTTCGTGTCTGGGGATCGTGCTCGAGAAATTCAAGCACTCTGGGCGCCTGATTCACGATTACGCCTACGGAATTCATAGGTTTAGGTATACGGTTTACGATCGTGCACGTGATATTCATGCGTTTGGCTAGTAGATTTATGAACTTGGTCGGGGGATTCATCATTTCGTTAGTATGTAGGCTAGTTTTCCCTGTAGTATTCTTGTATCTGGCTAGCAATGTTATGAACTTGGTCGAGGGATTCATCCTTTGCTCGCGATATTCATGCTACGCTCGTGACATTTATGATTGATATACGTCCGCCGTTAAGGTTGGTGTTTGGTCGAGGTCTATGTGTTCCCCGTTTTTCGTACAAATGACCGTTGACTCGGTCTGAGTGTTCCTTACTTCTCCCTGTCTGTGTGGCAGAAAAGTGGATTTGTTGTCGAATTCACCGGTTTCCTGTACTTTACAGGTAAATGGCCGATATTCTTGAGTCCTCGGGGCGTAATGATGCCGAGGAAACAAGCATTGTCGACGAAAGCATGAATCTGTTCGACACCGTCGACAACCCTACTCTAGATTGGGTTGGTGCTGAACCCCGGGTAATAGCTTCGATCTATAGCTATACCGGTAAATAAGCTTACATTGTCGTCGAGTATGGCGACGTCCAGAAAGGATTTCGGAGAAACTTTAAGATCATGAGGCCGACGAGGGATGCCCGCATCTGCTCGGAGTTTACACAGGACGCCTTTCCCATGTACGAGATCGTATTTAAAGATCTCGAGCTTCGATTGCCTTTCAATGACTTCCAGGTGGGAGTGTTCAACCACTTGAACCTGGCCCCCTCCCAGATTCATCCTAACGTGATTGCCTTTATCCGAGCATTCGAACTCACCTGCCGCTTCCTGAGGATTGGGGTAACGATTCCCCTGTTCTTCAGGGTTTTTCATCTGCAACGGCAGCCCCGAGGAGGGAAGCACAATTGGGTGTCCCTTAAGCAGTCGAAGAGACTGTTTAGGATGTATATGGATTTTGTGCGAGATTTCAAGGATAAGTGGTATATTTTGCAACCGTCTACCCAGACAGCAACCGTGGATTCGCTGTTCAAACTGGCCGCTGTGGTGGACGAGAACGGGGAGCCGTGTTTGGATGCTGAGGGTAATCCCGAGATTTGGAGAGTTTCAAAGTTTCCCATCCACTAGTGTTTGGGTCATTACGACCATGGACCTGGATACTACCACACTCTTGCTGGCGGTATGAGTGCTGAGGACGAGGAAGCTTATGGCGTCCTGAACAAGTTTGTCGATGGTTTCTTCCCTGCTTGGTGGGTTACGAGGGAAGGGGACGACTTTCTTGATGAGGATGGTGAGCCGACATTCAAGGCGCGTCCGATCAACACCAAGGCGCTCGTCGAATGCCAGTCTTACGGGCAGGCCGTAGACCTCTTAGGTTTCTTTCTTTGCTCTATTGATATTCCTCTTTATTTGTTTTCTTCAATGTGGCTAACCCAAGTACACTTCCTTTGCAGGTCACATGGTGGAGCGTCGCGAGAGGTTGCTGAAGTTGACTCAATACAAGAAGATCAACAAGAGCTTGGTGAGGCCGCAACAAACCACGCGAATGGGACCGACCCCTGTATCAGGCAGGGAAGGATCTAGTGGGTCCTCGAGTTCCCCGGACACCGAGCTCCAACCTGCTTTGATCAGCAAGAAACGGAGTCGACCAGATGATGGGGTCGAAGTGACCGATGGAGGGGCGGGTGCCTGGGCCTTCATCTTGCCACCCTATTTTATGGAAAAGGATTTCTTCGAGAGGTTTCCCTTGTTTGTATCCGACAACGAGGCTGACATCATCAGGCGGATCGACAAGGAAGGTCGGAGGAAACGTCTCGCTGCCAGCATGGTCGGGGTGGTGAGAATGTCTGAGATGGCAGTTGTCCTCGCGGGCGAAGGGTCGGACTCCTTGGATCGAGTTAAGGAGCTGGAGTCAGAGAAGGCGGCTCTTGTGGCCAAATCCTGCAAACTGAAGGCTGCCCTCGAATGCTCTGGGGAAATGTTTCGTGACCAGTCTGACGTGTTGTCGGGGGAGAAGGAAAGGGCCGATAGAGCTCTTGAAGAAAAAGACTGCCTTCAGCTTGATAAGGAGCGGTTGAAGAGTGACAACCAATGGCTGTCGAGAGAGGTCGAAGACCTGAAGGCTGTTATGCTGCCCGCGAAGGACGAGTCAGAAGGGATGGCCGACTTACGCACACGCTCTCGCTCGGATTTAACTCCTGGAGTCGGACTGTGTTGGCGCTTTGGCCGATGGCTTTGAGTCTGCGGTGAATCAGTTGTCCGTGCTAAATCTGGGGTTGAATACCGAAGGGACGGGGGTTCTATCCCAGATTGTCGATGGCTGGGTTATGCCTCCTCCTGACTCTTCTGACATCGACGTTGGTACTTCGGGGACTGATTGATGCTTTTATTGGTGTTTGGGCCTGCGCGCCCATTATTATTGTTGGGGCCTGCGTGCCTTCCTTTATTCTTTTAGTTTTTTTGCCGTCGTGCCTGGACTGTAATTCTGGATAACGCCGGACCTTGTGGTCGGTATATTATTGATCCTTGTTTATGACTGCCTATTCGATGGATGCTTTGTTTACAGTTATCTGATAATATTTGATGTATATGCCCGATTGTTATCTTTGGTAATGAATTTCTGAAGAAGTTTGTGTTCGTATGGAGATATTCGTTCGACCCACGTGTCGGTTCGACACATTTCGAAATGCGTCGAATGTGCGGAGTGGGAATCCGAGTGTCGGGCGTATGATCGCGATTGGGATCCTACGCTCGTTGCGTGAACTGTCCATCATGAGCTGGGTGTTCTGCCATGTGGGGTACTTCAATAGTGGAGCTCGATCGAGGTGTCCCTATCGGGCATGTACGTTTGGTTCGTCGAACTGAACGACAATATGCCCTCGTTGGTTGGTAGGTCGGGTCCGTACCTCGACTCGCCTACGTGGTCGAGCTTTTCCCTTCGTCGATTGAAGGTGAACATTCGACGGCAAAAGTCCCCCAGCGGGTGAGGGCTTTAGTTATAATATTGTTTTAGCTTCGCAGCATTCCAGGGTCGTGGTAACGGTTCTCCGTTTAATTGCTCGAGATAATACGCTCTGGTGCCCGTAGCTCCCTGGACGTGATAAGGTCCCTCTCATTTTGCGGCCAATTTTCCTTCGCGGGAATCTTTCTGGTTCCTCCGCAAGACTAGG